GCCGGAGCATTCGGCCTCATGAATCTGTTTGCCAGGCCGGTGTCGGTTAATCACCTCAAGGGATTGCTTCAGCGGTTGAGCTCTTGTACTGCCTGTTCGCCGTGGGGCCGGTCAGTTAGAAACGACTCTATTCCGAATCTCTTTGCCAGGTCCTTGGGTGGAATCACAAGCGACATCCTCTTCAAGTACATGGGATTCCGCGGCCGCATCTGGGCGCAGTTCTTGTCCCTCTTCTTTGAAGCGATTTTCCTCTTTTGCTTCGGCTTGGTGGATAATTCTCAGCCATGGTACGTGGCCTTGGCAGTGCTGGTGTGCTTCTCCCTCTTTGTCCAGATGGCTGAGGGCACCAGCTATGGCATTGTGCCTTTCATGAACAGACCACAGCTGGCCGTTGTGTCTGCACTTGTGGGGGCTGGAGGGAATTTGGGAGCTGTCATTGCAGGCTTTTGCTTCTACCGGCCTATCGATGATCCCCTGCTTCCTTTCCAAGTGCACGCCGGCTACGTGATGTTCTGGGCATTGCTCAGCCCTTGCTACTACTGGGCGGAGCACGGTGGCATGTTCCATGGCCCGAAAGAGGTGACGCCAGGCGCGAAAGAGGTGACGCCAGAGGTCAAGGCCACTGAAGAAGCCACGGTCTAGAAGCGCAACAAGGTACTCCTTGTGGCAACGACTGCCGCGCTTCTGTACGCCACTAGAGTGACTATAAGTCTATGTGGGCAAACTGTTTGCAAGTGTTTTGTTCTTTCGCAGGAAGAGATCCTGTTGACCGCCCTGCAGCTTAGCGTATCCTGGCGTGGAGTGCAGGGTCGCAAGCGCAGAGCGGAGTAGTCGCTTGGGCTAAGCTCAAACGACACCGGACGGGCCTCAGCAGCCTTTGCACGGAGTGCGGGGTTGCGGGCGCAGATGGGCAGACAAACTGGCGGAAAAGGTCATTGAGGATGCGCAGGGTTTTAGACGCCTTCATGTCTCCTTATGACGACACCGTATGACGTATGACGGGTTCCAGGTCGGAGACTTCATGATACAAAACTGTGTTTAGAGTAGACTACATCTCTGGGTATGCGAGTTCAGAAGATGGGGAGCCCTCCATAAGAATCCGAAGCCCGAACACCGTGAGAGATGCAGAGCTCAAGATACAAGAGCCTGGCGAACAACTTGCACGAAACGAGTATAGCCACTGGAACAAAGGTGATGTAGGATGATGGGGTAGCCTAGGGTTTAGGGTGTATCCTAGGTAATATTTCAGGAAACCTCTTGACGGGGACCCTTCTTAAGCCTACTTAGCCCTACTTCTGGCCCTCTTGAAATGGGCCTTATGGAGAGGGTCTATATCCCCAAGGGTCCCCTAAACCCCAAACCCTAAACCCTCAACCCTAAACCCCTAACTCCTACAGTGTAGGTTGCGAGTTCTGCCAATCGATCCGAGTTTGACATGGCATGCTTCCGCAAGATTTGACCGGAAGCATGGGCAGCACGACACATTAGGGTTTAGGGCTTAAGGGTTTAAGGGTTTAGGGTTTAAGGGTTTAAGGGTTTAGAGGTTTAGGGTTTGAAGTTTAGGGTTTAGTTATTTACGGTTCTAAGGAGGCTGCCAGCCCGAAGCAGAAATCTGGGAACCTGGAGCCACAAAACTGGTGATTAAGCCAACGATGATCCTAGTGCAACCACCCCAGAGTCCCGCAGGCCCCTTACCATCCCCTAAGGCTCTAAGGACTCATATGTTTAAGCTTTTGGGCCCTAAGACGATACTATATAAGGCTTTTGGGCTACTTTGAGCCGTAGCGATCCTCGAACTTCACCTTACTCCAGCTGCATCGGTGCCGCTGAAGCCAAAACAGCACTTGCAAGCTTTGATCGTGCGCATGACATGGAGTGCCATGTCTTTCCGCCGCACAAGCGGCGTCGGCAGGAGGTTGGCCGGATCTGCGTTCACCATCTACTGGTCGAGGGTTTAGGGGTTTAGCAATTGAAAGAGTCTAGAGTCCAATATCGTTCTCACCATACCCAAGTCACCGCACACTATCACTGCAAGTGATGCAGCGAGAGGAATGGCAAAATGTTGTGTGCCCCGAGTTTACTGCTCGCCAGAGCCTTGTTTTTTGCTGTTCCTAAACTCTTAAACTCCTAAACCCCTAAACTCCCAAACTCCTAAACGGAGAGAAAGCCCTCTGCATTTATTTTTCCCCTGACCCCAAAACCTAAACCCTAAAAGCCCTAAAACCTAAAAATCCTAAACCCTAAAAGCCCTAAAAAGCCTAAATCCCTAAAAACCCTAAACCCTAAAAACCCTAAACCCAAACCCCTAAACCTCAAAGCCCAAACAGGAGCAAGCCAGGGTTCCGCAGGCTGCCGCGATCTCCGAGCTGGCGATGAAGGAGTCCACGGCAAAAGTCATCCGCTCCTTCCCTAGCACGTCCCGTCCTCGGCTTTCAGGGGTTTCGGCTTTAGGGGTTTAGGGTTTAGGGTCTAGAGTTCCGTCCTCGGCTTCAAGGGTTTATCATGGTCTAGGGTTCAGGGCTTAGTGGATTAGGGTTTAGGGTTATGATTGGTTTATTGGTTCTTCCAGTAGTGCCCTTTTGCCCTTTATTTTTGGGGTCTCCTTATCAACACCACATAGTAGGCAAAAATGGTACACCCTTATTGTGAAGAGGCTAACCGGTAACCTAGTTTAGGATACTGTGGACCCTTCACCCTAAACCCTAAACCCTAAACCCCTAAACCCTATAAACCCTAAACCCTAAACGAATAAATATTATGGGGGGCTCCGGAGGGTTCACACAGACTTCTAGGGCTGCTGATTCTAGGGGTGTTAGGGCTCCGGGCAGCTCAGGGGACGTTTGGGGGTTCATAGAGTTCATCGTTTGCCAACACTCTAGAATGTAGTACGGTGTTTGAGTACCTATTCTGTGGTTAGGTTCCTATACTAAGAAGCTAAGGTAACCCAATGAAGCTATTACTTCAAAGGTTAATATAGTTTACAGGGTCTCGGTACGGGCTTGAGGCATGAAGAGCTGTAGAGCTTCGGACGGAGCAGGCGTTGCGGCAGCAAGAGCTACTCGGGCCCTCTGCCGTGGCTTCGCCCGTTTAGAAGGCTTTGCAAGTGAGACGGCCTAGGGTTCGAACTTTACATATAGGGTTCAGGATTTCGGGTGTGGGGCTGGCGCGCCGTCGTAGCTTAAGACGGTTCTCGTCGTGGCTTGAAGCTTTCCTTATGGCATCCCCCCGGCATTTGGGGCAAATGTGGGCCAAAAATCCCACGCAAGTGAGCAAGGTGGCAGCTGCTAACGGTGGCACGTTTGGCACACGAGGCTCGAAAGTTGTCCTTCAGCCCAGGCATTTCCTTTTCACCGATCAAGAGGGTTGAGGGTTCAGTTGGTTCAGGGCTTAGGGTTTATAAGGTTGATGAGATAAATCCTGGGTTTTCATAGTCGTTAGAATTAGTACATCATCCTCACCAGGGCTCCTTCTTAGAGCCATACTGTGGCACTGTGGCACACCCGCAAACGGTTTGCGGTTTAACCCTGTTCTAATCAACAACGCACATGTATTACCCTAAACTGGGGGGTCTCCATATGCCACATTGCTGAAAGTTGCAGTGCTGGCAGTTACATCAAGTACAGTCACGTCTTGGATACCCTCAACTAGGGCAAGTTTGTCACTCACATGTGATCATGATCCAGCCTCAGCAGCCCTGAACCGTAAACTAAACTAAACTACACTAAACGGCCCTCAACGCAAAACCCTGAATCCTGAGCCCAAGAACCTAACCAGGCACAAGCACTTCGTTCCGTTCCATCTCGCGGGATTTGCATTGAAGTGGTGCCGCAAGAGATGCGTGCGGCCCGGCTAACTGACAGCAATCTCGGGTATTTCCTGCAAGGGTCTTTGGGTTGCGAGATTCAGGGTTTATGCTTTAGGAGTTTAGGGCTTCGTTTATTGGGTTTCGCAAGGTTTTTGAATGGCTAGTTTAGTAACGAGGTGTTGGCCATCACAAGCGGCGGTTCCGAAAGTCTTAATCATAAACCCTACCGATACTCTCCATTGCACTTCGTCGTTTGGTAAGCCATGTTTACGGTAGGACCCTTTACTCAGACAACAACGAACCACACAAAAATCATTATTTTGGAGGGTACGGGTAAACCAGGTCAGGTAAACCCTATACGCAAAAGCCCGATACCATGAGTCGTAGCTCTGTTACTTGGTTTAACCCTAAACCCTAAGACCTAAAAGCCCTGAAATGACAAAAGAGGATGCTGGCGCATGCTCCTTCCCATGGCCATGTCAGCTTGCATCCTCTATTTACTGCACACGGTTTGATCATAGACGTGTGTTCGAACTAGATACATACATGCATACATACATACATGCATACATACATACATACATACATACATACATACATACATACATATACATGTACACATGCACGTCCACATACACATATGCACACATACACGTACACATACACATACACATACGCATATATCCACGTATACAGTATACATATACATATACACAGACATACACATACACATACACATATACCTACATAATCATATGTACATGCATGCATACATATGTACATGCATGCATACGCATATACGCACAAGCAGGTACATGTCTTGCATGCGAGTTATTTTGGGAAATTAATGCTACACCTGTATCCGTTTGTTTGCCGTGTGTGCTGACTGTAAAGGGTCTGCCCTTCTTCTCGAGATCTGCAAAAGCCAGTCAGGCAAACTAGCACCCTTCTCTAGTCTGCTTTACATCTATGTCAGTCTTGTAAGGAAGTCTTGTAAGGAACGTTTCTACATCGCACCTTACACCTCAAACGGCCTGAAGCACCATGAAGGCTAACCCTGAACGGTCCAGGTCGAGAGTGAGCACAGTCAAGGTCCAGTTTCCATCCGTGCAAGGTCAATTTATTGCGTTTAGGGTTATGGGCAGTATAATCATGTGCTAGCAGGAACTTCAATTCAGCATGCTTGGAATCTGACTGGCATGAAGTCCAAAATCGAAGCCTCCAAACCATGGAATCCACGAGGCAAGCGCGACTTTCCTGCACCCGCTGCCGAGCTCTGGATCCACCAGACCACATTCTGACCCAGATGAGGTTAGTCGGATCAATGTGGTGCCTTGTGACGCAATGGAGATGCAGGGTTTAGGCATATGGCGATTGAGCGGAGAATGGGCTCACTCAGGGCGTGTCTGTGCAAGTCCCATGTTACGTTCCTGCAGGCCTTTGTTGACTTGCCCCAACAGCCATCCTAAGCCCTAAACTCATAAACCCTAAACCTTGTTGATATCTTCGGCACGGCTTTCATTCTCTTGCCGCTTGAAGTCGACGTCTGTATGAAACCGGTGCCTAGGCCCAGGCAAGCCCGAAAGGGTCCCGGTCGTAGACCAGAAGCCTTCCCCGAAGGGCCCATGCACGGATATACGGTTTGGGGTTTAGGGTTTAGGGTTGCCAGAAAGTTGGAACATCATTATCCTGATGCCCTGAAGGCAAGGTATAGGGAATCCCAGCACTAATCATGCTAAACTAATTTTCCAACTTTCTGGGTTCGCTGTACATACTTGGGCCGTAAAGTACTCCCTAAAATTACAGATACTTTGAGCACAAAAATATGTAAAGAGATGTGTATATATATATATATATACATATATATATACACACATATATATATATATACATATATACATACACATATTTTTTGGTACATGGGCCCTTGCTGTTCGGTTTTCCGCCACAGCGCAAGGCTTTCGACTGCCCTGAGTGCTATCCTCTGCGGCCCCCGCGGGTTCGACAGAAAGACCTGTAGCCTGGCTTGGTGTTTAGGGTTTAGGGTTTAGGGTTTATAGGGTTTAGGGGCTTGAGGTTTGAGAGTTTACCTGGAACGCTCATTACCTACCTGGACCCTAAAGAATATGATTTCTTTATATAAGGCCTTGAAAAGGTAGGTTATTTGCGGCTAAGGTACAGTTTAGCAGCCCTTAGGTAGAACCCATGAAACTGTAGGTTGTTAGAGTCCCAGCTAGGGCTTAGGGCTGAGGGTTTAGGGTGTTGGGTTCAGGGTTTACGGAGGGCTTAGGGCTCAGGGTTTAGGGCATTCCTGGGTCTCCAAAAACCTACTGTTTTAGGGGCTAGGCCCTATAATTAAGGGGTCATAACCTACTATTTTGTAGGGTTTGGGGATGCAGGTTGGGCTTAGGGCTGGGAGATGCTTATGGCTTCGTGTGTAGGAACCTGATTAAGAAACCCTGGCCCCATAGCCCCAATATATTGTTCATATAAAGAACCCTAGCAAAGGCCCAAGGTTTCTTAACCATTAATCCGGTGCCTAACCCAAAACCCAAAACCCTAAACACTAAACGGCCCCAAACCCTAAACCCTAAACGGCCCTTAACCCTAAACACTAAACGGCCCCAAACCCTAAACCCGTTTAGGGCTTTTCGGGTTCAGGGTTTCGGTTTCGGGATTGGCAGCTCAGGGTTTATTTCCTTTAATGGAGAGGCTCTCCAGGTCGGAGGGCTTATGGTCTTGAGCTTAGGGTTTAGGGCTTTAGGGCTTGAGGGGTTAGGGGTTTAGGGGTTGAGGGGTTTAGGGCTTTAGGGTTTAGGGGTTCAGGGGTTTAGGGTTTGGGGTTTCAAGGTGTGTTGTTTTCGTTTTGCCTTTACTGCTCATGTTTTATGGCTCTGGGGCTGGGTGTTACTTGCTGTGGTGTGACGTCTACGGCCCTGTTCGCAACTTGGAGCTAGAGATTGTTACTGCGAGAGTAGGCAACATCAGCGTCAGTATTGTGCACAAACGGTGCAATGTGAGGCAAGTCCATGGCCATGTGGAGGGCTGGCAGTACAACGGAGCAGACATCCAGCTGCTGCGGCTGGAGGACGCTGACTCCAAACTTGTGAATCCCAAGATGCACAAGAGCTGGCTCAGCAGACCTTCACTGACTAAAACCTCGTTACCTACTTGGGTAGTTGTCAAAATTATGGTCCCTTTTGGGGTGCCCTAAATAATAGGTGCCGTATTATAATAAGGACTCAAAGAGGGACCATAATTTTGACAACCACCCACTTGCTAGTGGGATACACGTGCGAGCATGCTACGGCCGAGCCAAAGCACAATCACACCAGAAAGGCCCAGGTGCCCCACATACGTCATGTACGGCGGCCATTACAAACAATGCCCTTTAGGATATAACGCGAACTTACATGTCAACCCTACTCTAAACCCCAAGCCCCAAGTCCTAAACCCTAAACCCTAAACTCTAAACCGCAAAACCCTACATTCTGAACGTTCAATCTTGGGCCAGGTCCAGAACTCTCCCTGCATCATCTAGAATGATAACCCAGACCGCTGGGAGATCCCTTCAAAGGGGATTCCTATAAAGTACCTCATAGTAGTATTCGGTCCCAAATTTGGCGTTCTTCTCTCTAGATCTTTCGGGGGTCTGGGAACTCCATTGTCATAAGAATGCTGCAATGGTAGCACAGCAGCTTGAGAATACTTCGACACTTTATAGGGTTCAGGCTGAATCTCAAACAGCCTCATATGGGGGCCTTAATAATTAGAATAGGGTTTTGGGTTATACTATACCATAATTATAACAAGGAACCCCCCACAACCCTATTGTAATTCTTAAGGCCCTTACATTATTGGGGACTAACGGCATCCTCGCAGGACGACAGATGGGGCTTCACTATGGGCAGCTTGGCCCCTGAAAAACCTGACTTCCCTTTGCTCTGAGGCTTTCTGGTCGCGGTTTGGGATTAAATTCAAGGGGGTGTAGGGTTATAGGTTTTGGGGGTTTAGGGTTCATGAAAGGTTTTATAGGTTTTGGGGGTTTAGGGTTCATGAAAGGTTTTGGGGTTTAGGGTTACTGAAAGGTTTTGGGGTTTAGGGCTATAGGGCTTGAGGCTGAGGGGTCGAGGAGTTTAAGGTGTTCCGTTTTGGGGTTTTGGGGCCTGCGGATTTCGGCGTTCAGAGCTCGCGGTTCGCGTGCTGCAAGTCCCGCGATGCCGATCAAGAGTGTTGGTTTCAGGCGAAACCCTACACCTTAAATCCTTAAACCCTGAACCCTAAAACCCTAAACCCTCAAGCTAGGCAGCGGCAGGACTTCTTGAATGGGAAAGTTGCAACCTTTTCGTCTTTCTTTGCTTCAGTTCGCTTGTCGTCCACTTTCCACGGTTGTCGTTCTCCTCGGCTCCTCGGTTTCTCGATCGTCCTGGAGCTGCTGTTGGAAATTAAAAGTCCCAGGGGTTTATGAGCCCATGTAATGTATACTTTGTCCCCAGTGCTTTTGCTTTGACGACTTTCAGAGGTTAGTTCGCACCCTGGCCTTAGTGCATATACATAGAGAGAGAGAGTGTGTGAGAGACCAAGATAGAGATAGAGGGATTACTCTAGCGGCAGACTACATACGAAATAAGTACATGTGGCCCCATACCCTACACCCTTTCTGAAACGTTGTGAAGACATGGATGGGCAGCCAAGGAATTGCGGACATCTTGGCTGATTTGCTGGATGCGCTGCCGCTGCGCGCGGCCGCGCGCTTTAATGAGCCTGCCGATGCGGAGATGGCCAGCTGACTGATAAGGGTTACTATGATAATTTCTACAAGAGTTCAGGGGATAAGGTTTGAATATAGAAGCCTGGATGATTCGTAATACTCTTCCTGACGGCTCCTTCTCATACTTACAGTAAACGTGCCCCCTGAAGCCCTTCTTGGAGGTTCATGGGACTTAGTCAGTACAGGTATAAGTACATTAACTGGGCGTATAATTACCTTAAGCCCTAAACCTAGTTATCATATTCACAACCCTACCCATAGGCCCCAAAGTAGTTCCTTTTAGGGATTATACCTTATAGGATTCTATATATGAACCCCGCAAAGGAACTACAATGGGGCCTATAGCCCTCAACCCTAAACCCTAAACCCTAAACCCTAAACCCTAAGTCCCATGCTCCTCCGGGTATCGGAAGGTTATGCGCGCAAGGTCCATCTTGGCAGTTCTTGGCTAGAAATTAAAGCCTACTCTAGGGGCCTTCATAATTACCTATATTATTTTGG